ATGAATGGGAAACTGATCTTAATGACATATGATGGCTTCATCATTCTTGCTTTTATGAGAAACATGTTCCTATTTGTGTTTGCATGGATGTAAATAGAATTCCCTGCACAGTTAAGAAGTCTGAATAAACAGCTATTCATTAGTGCATAGGAGACCTACATCCAGAGGATGCAGAGAGATGGCTCCTTCAGACATCGCTGATCAATATTTAAATGAAGTATGGGACATATGAGGTAGGAGTAGTGCAAAACAGAGGCTCCAAGGAGTTTAATTCAGCTCCTGAAAGGCAGTCTCCAAAGGTGGTATTCAAAAGGGCAAATTTATTATATACACAGCTGGAACACAATTTTTCAAACTATATTTAATTTCTAATACATTTAAGTGTGAATGCAATACAACCATATTTAGCATTCATCCTGGTTCTATCCATTTTTTTAGGAGTGGAGCCCCAAGCATGTCACTCTAGATCAATAATTGTGGTCCGCCAACTCGATCTAGCCTTCTGTGTACAAAAGTTTTGGAGCATAATCATTCAATAGGTTAGTTCCCTCAAAACACAAGTTGTCACCATTCCAGAAAAACCTCTGCTCCAATTAAAAACTCTGAGGCAAGCGTTTTCTCAAAGTTCCATTTATTAGAGTAGGTATATTGGCACATCTTGGGAAAACCCGAATCTGAGAGTTCAGGGTTTTCCCTCAGTAAATCAAAACCCACAAAACCATCCCCTCACTCATCAGTCAAGCACATGCTCCAATCACCATCTGTTCCATCTCCAGACAGCACTCCAACCACTCCTTCTCCAGATGCAGGATTATCCTGACCTTGACTGACTGGAAGAATGCTATTTTGTCTAATTACAAATCCTCAATTAAATATCCCCTCCTACTTTCCCACACATGAGAAGGTGGCAGCTTGGAAGCTTCCGGCCTAATATGGCTTCCAAAGCTGACACAAGTTCAGTTTCCATAATGGTTGCATCTGCTATGAAAATACACTGCATGACACACCGGGTTTTATGACAATTCAGTGTTCATGAAGAATAAATTCAGCTTGCACAAATGAGCATTGCACCAATGCCAACTTTACTGCTACCAAATGTCATGACTGATGATTGATGTTTCTTCTTTGTAAACAGTGGTATTTTTACTTTTTTATTTTACTTTTGAGGGAGGAATAGCAAGCTGAAGTTGTCTTCATAAAAGTAGTGTTCACAATTATGACAAAAAACTAAAGAACCGGTGAGCAATCCATTTCTTTAGAACTTCTCTAATTAATTTTAAACTAAAATTAAGACAATTAATTATATTCCTTCCTTTTGATTACAATTAAACTGAAGGAGTACAACACTGATTTATTTGATCAAGGTTAAAATAAGACATTTGTTTGCAAAGTTCTGGCAATCCTTTATGGGCTTTTACTTACACCAGGATTGAAAAACTGATGTTTTATAATGCTTATACCATGTTTCCCCGAAAATAAGACCCTGTCTAATATTTTTTGAACCCCGAAATAAGTCCTGGCCTTATTTTCGGGGAGGTCTTATTATTTTGGGGCATGTGGAGCAAGACGGGGTTCCTCTTGCTGTCTTACCTGATTTCCAGCTCTTTCTCCCTAACCCTAACCAGAGGAAATGGGGGGACCGGCTATGCATGCACATAAATATTTTCGGGAAGGGCTTATTTTAAGGGAGGACTTATTTTAGCGCATGCGCTCAAAAGCCTGATTGGGCTTATTATTTGGGGAGTTCTTATTTTTGGGGAAACAGGGTTGATAACAGATGAGAGATTGTAAGCATGTTTCCCCAAAAATAGGACCCTGTCTTATATTTTTTTGAACCCTGAAATAAGCGCCTGGCCTTATTTTTGGGGAGATCTTATTATTTTGGGGTATGTGGAGCAAGACAGGCTTCTTCTTGCCATCTTGCCTGATTTCCAGTTCTGTCTCTCTAACCCTAACCAGAGAAAATGGCGAGGACTAGCTGCACATGCGTTTGAATATTTTTGGGAGGTCTTACTGTATTTTGGGGGGAGTTCTTATTTTCAGGGGAACAGGGTAGGGAGTGATGAGATACTTAAAGGTTAGTTTGTATTAGTTTTTATTGTGTAATCAAAATCCTTTATAAAAATTATGCACAGGAAACTGGTATTTTTTAAAGCTTGGGTGTGCGTGTATGTGTGTGCACAGATAGTTTGAAAATCTTAAACTGACTCAACATCATCCAGAGATCAGGTTAGACTTGAAGCTGAGCTTCCCAATTCCTAATCTAGCATCTTAACCATCTAACTACGTTGGCTATAACTTTCTATCTTAAATTATACAGATTCTGATACAGATTTTTGTTCTAAGCTAAAAATTAGTATATTTATTCAATGTATTTAGGTATATATTTAAAAGTAGGTTGTGAGGCAAATTACTACACAACATGCTAAACCCAATCGTCTACTAATTCATGAGCTTTTCCCATGAGCTCTTGCTCTTGCTCAAGAAAGAACTGGCAAGGCTTCAAAACATCATTTGCTCTTCCTCCATCGGTCTAAAAGGGAGAAGACATGACTTGGTCACTGTAGTTAATCAATATTTGGATAGTACCCTGTATAGGCCAGGCCTGGCACTGACTTCTGTAAACAAATTTCTGAACCATTATTTCCCTTCCATTTTTCTCTCTGTAAAATTAGGAATGCAAAAAGAATAGCACCAATCTAGTTTGTGTCCCACAACATAGCTTTTTGGATTCAGTTAATTTAACCTGTTCATCCCTGAGACTTTTGAGGCATAATTTAATTCTATGAGAATTAAGTGACTGAATCAATTTATCAGGTTTTGGTGCGTATATGTGTGTGTGTGTATATATGTACCAGTGGTGGGTTTCAATTTTTCTTACTACTAGTTCTGTGGGTGTGGCTTGGTGGGCGTGGCAGGGAAGGATACTGTAAGATCTCTATTCCCACCCCACTTCAGGGATAGGATACTGTAAAATCTCCATTCCCTCTCCACTCCAGGGGAAGGATACTGTAAAATTCCCATTCCCTCTCCATTTCAGGGGAAGGATACTGTAAAATCTCCATTCCCTCCCCACTCCAGGGAAAGGATACTGTAAAATCTCCATTCCCTCCCCACTCCAGGGGAAGTTACTGCAAAATCCCCATTTCCTCCCGATCAGCTAGCACTTGGGAGGCAGAAAATAGATGGGGGCGGGGCCAGTCAGAATTTTTACTACCGGTTCTCCAAACTACTCAAAATTTCCACTACCGGTTCTCCAGAACTGGTCAGAACCTAGTGAAACCCACCTCTGATATGTACATATGTATTTAATCCCACTTTTATTATTTTGATAAATAACTCAAGATGACTAACATACCTATTATTCCCTTTTCTCTTATTTTTGCACTACAACATTGCGTTGAGCAAGAGTGGAATACTAGAACGCACAATCTGCTGGTTTCTGGCCTGGAAGCTTAACCACTACACCAAACTAGCTCTCATGATAGATTAATGAGTTCTCATGATTAACTCATTAATTCATTTTACACACATGTTTTCACAATAGGAACAATAGTCTCTTCACATCAACCCACTGAATTATGTCGTAGAACAGGGCTTCTAGTGTTACAATGGGAGTAGACTCCTTCATGCATGCAATCAAGCCACAGTTTTATCTTGTAGCTGAACACGGATAGAGTTTGAGAAACCAACTCTTTTTAAAAAGAATATCCTTAGTGTAATCACATCAAAATTGGAATTCAGTACAAAAGTACATGTCAGAGTCATCCAGACTAACTGCTCTTTTATTGATAGGAAAAACTGCTGCTAAGGCTTTCAGGACATAATGAGATGAGAAGAGATGGGACAGTGATTAATCTCCCCCCACCCATATTTTTTTTTCTTTATTTTAAATGGCCCTTTTCATGATTTTTCATCCTTCAGGGTTCTGAAAAAATGTGTTTGCAAGGGCAAACGTGTGTTTCAAATTCAACAGGCAGATAATTCACTTGGGGAGCAATTTGGAACAGCAACGCAGCAAGTTGGCAATAAGGTTAAAAACTGTGCCCTCTACCCCGTCCCTCCAGATATACCCTTTCATTAAAAAACAAACACACTGTTCTTCTATTGTATAATTTACTCTACTTTTAACTGATTGGAAACTGATTTGCAAAACATCCAGTTCAGTTTTTTATTGTGTTTTTTGCGGAGATTGAAGGTTGCGCATAACCATTTGACAAATGAATAAGCAAAAGTCACCTCTTATATTTCAAACAGCAGCATGTTATTCCTTGAGTATTTTTCAATGGCTGAGTCCTTGTAAGATGGAAATAAATGTTGTTGTTGTTTTTTGCTCAGTTACTGTGATGTGTGGATTTTAAACAAAAGAACTGTTTTTAAAACAAACAGAAACTCACACAATCTTCCAATTAAAAATTGCCTTGAGGTGCAATAACAAAAGATGTATTAACTTACATTATTCCAACTTTTTGAACATTTGTCCAAAAAAACAATACCAAAGAAATGAATGTGTGTTTAACTTTCAAATAAACATTCTATTTATGAGTAGACTTTTCTTGTGTGTGTTTGTATATACATAAATAAAATAGCAAACTCTTTTATGAATCTCTCTTGAAAATTCTTTGATTTTCCTACCTTGCATTTGACTTTGAAATGAAAGGTGGCTCATTTCAAATTCAACTTCTCATCTTGAAGGCTTCTGCTTGACTATTATAAACATCTCCGAGTTGGCACCATGGAACAATTTATTTTGCTGTTTCGCTTGGGGCATTCATTTGATTCATTCAGCCCTATAGAGCCAACCCAAGGAGAATGGAGGTTCATTTCAGAGCAGTTTTCTTTTGCCCTGTGGTCCAATCATTCTGCTACCTTGTCTTGTTAACTGTCAATGGTAGGCACATCTTCCAAACGCTTGCTCCTTTGTACAAAAAAGAGCAATTGAAACAAAGCAAGATCATGTCAAAAATATTTCATTTTGTTTCCTATTTCCATCCATCTAGGGGAAATAATATATGGGAGAACACAATCCTGGGGAAAAAATTCCAAGAGAGACCAAATGAGAAAGGAAAGAAATACAGTCTCAGTACTAGAATGACTGGGATAAAACCATCAGGTATGTATATTCATTGTTAGGAACATTGAAGTATTATTATGTACTTTCATATAATGTATCTACCTTACCATTGTAGATGTACAATGCTGTCTTCATTGATTTGGGGGAATACATGTAGTCTGTTGCTAAAAGAAAGTTCACAGAGCAAACTGTGGAAAATATTGGAGAAGCAATGGGAAGTTCAAACCTCCAAAATTGTCGTGCTTGATAAATCAGGCTAGGACCTTCAAAGGCCCAGAATTGGCTTCCTGTTGCTTCCTTTAGTAAACTGCTACCATAATTTATCATGGTCACCCCCATTGATGGATCTAAATTATGACATAGGCACCCTATTTTTGGTACTTGGAAGGTTGCAGTGAGTGAAATGATGACATGAAATGGATAGATTCAGAAAACAGATAGAATGAGATTGGGATTTCCAATAGTTTTTCTTCTCTAATGTGGCTGTTTTTCTTCTTCCCCCTCTTCTTTATGTAAAGTCTCACTTTAAACCTATTTTTAGGGATTTTATGTTACAATTTTTGTGTGCTTTCTACCTTAAAATTGGGGAGAAACCAGTAGTGAAATTCAAAATTTTAAACTACTGGTTCTGTGGGCATAGCTTGGTGGGCATGGCAGGGGAAGGATACTACAAAATCCCCATTCCTTCCACACTCCTGGGGGAAGATATTGCAAAATCTCCATTCCCACCCCACTCTGGGGCCAGCCAGAGATGGCATTTGCCGGTTCACCGAACTACTAAAAATTTCTGCTACCAGTTCTCCAGAACCTGTCAGAACTTGCTGGATTTCACCCCTGGGAGAAATCCCACCATGCAAGCTTGTGTATGATTGACATAGTCACAAGAGGTTCTGAGGGCCACAGAGAAGGTATTTAGGGACACAATGTCTGGCCTTGAGTTAGATAAGAATGCTGGAGTCTGTGAGTGGAAGGTGACTGGATGTGTCAGCAGCAAATTTTGTGTCAAATTGGACTTCAGGCCAAAGATGGGTTTTATACAGCTTTCTTGGAAAAATTGCCATTTAATTAGAATTATGGGGTGTTTCTAGAGCAATTGGTCTGAGGATTGGTGTTCTAAATCTCTTTATTTAACTTATGGCTGAACATTTTTAGCTACACAAATGGCTTTAATGTGATTAGGTGATTTTACTTCAGCTGGAATTTGCTTTTGGAATGATCCTTTGGTTCTGGACAAGTTGTATTTAGGTCACTGAAGATTGAAGCCCTGAAGGAGATAACAGAAACGAATGAGCTCGAATTATTTTTGCACCCTGACAAATACTCTGGGGAGAAGTTAGCAGAGAAGTCTTCTAAAGATTTAAAACTACCTACTTTTTCAGCAAGTAAGTAGATATTCATTATATTCTCATTACACTGAGTCTCATAGGCGAGAGGCAAAAAATAATACCACTAGCTTATCTCTTTTAAGAAGAGAGGAAGGTAATGGGAAGGTCTTGGATTTATTGTGTGGCCTGTGGGAGACCTTTCAGGAATTAAGAAAGCTGGAAGACTCAGAAAATCTGTGATCCAAAGCTGTAAATGATGTTTGGCATGTACCAAAGTCAGACAGCTCAGGCACTTTTAAAAACTCTAGTGGATATTAAACTCTTTACATATTTATGACTACATTAGAAGTAGATCAGGCTAACTCTCACTGGTTGTGAGAGTTGTGAGACACAAACATCTTGTGTTGGTACCCTCCATGTAATTTATCTTTTATTACATTTATATCTTGTTTTCCTCTGGATAGAAGTTGACCGCCTCATTGAAACCCTGGGAGTGAGCATTTATTTTATTTTATTTTTTCTTTAGTTATAGAACAGGGGATCCCCAATCCCCGGGCTATGGACTGGTATCAGTTTGTGGCCTGTTAGGAACCGGGTTGCAAGCTGGAGGTGAGCAGCAGGCAAGAAAAACTGTGCATGCATGGGATGTAGGTTGCACATCCCCCGCCCTGCCCAGGTCCATGAATTGTCTTCTACAAAACCAGTCCCTGATGCCCAAACAGGTTAGGGACCACTGCTACAGAGGGTTTGTCTGGTGATTTAGGGCCCTGGAAGATGATAAGGAAGGTTTATGGACTGATGCTGGGAGAATGTGGTCCTTTAACCACTATCAGCCGGGGTAATGCTGACCACTCCAGGGTAGAGCAGGTATGGTAGTGCCTGTTTGGAGGATCTGAGTGGGAATTGATTTGGCACGTGTTCAGGGGTGGGCTGCTGGGGATTCGCAGGGGTTCAGGAGAACCTCTAGCTAAGATTCTGTGCAGTTCGGAGAAACCCCAAATCCCACTCCTGGCTGGCCTCGTCCACCCCTCCCAGGAGTCCCTACACAGCCTGTTTTGGATGCAGGTAAGTGCAGGGCATGCATGGAGAGGTGGAAAACAGGTCTACTGGAAGTTTGGGAAGGCCAGAAAGCCTTTTTCCGGCCTCCAGAGGGGTTCCAGAGCCTGGAGAGGCTGTTTTCACCCTCCCAGAGGCTCAAGGAAAGCCTCCAGAGCCTGGGGAGGGCACTCCACTGTGGTGCAGGAGGCTGACTAGGCCATGCCCACCATGGCCACACTCACCCAGAAACCAGGCAGAGAACCCCTTGCTAAAATTTTTGAAGCCCACCCCTGCATGTGTTCATTGGTCTCCCATAAGAGCTGGAATCAAGATAACTGGTCTAATAGTCTTCTAGAATGGTTGACGCATTCTAGAATCTGATTCAACACCTTTTCTCTTCCCTCTACATCAGTTACCATGGAAAGAAGAGGGAAGAATGAGTCTTAGATGGCGCTAGTTTGACAAAAATAGTAATTAATCTGTGACTTTGGGAATTTCAGAAGTGATATGAACAGATTTCTTCCTTGCTGCCTATCTTGTTCTAAACCATTCCTTAATGTATTTTGTTTCCAGCATTCCATAACTGAAGAAGATATATTTATTTGCTAACATTCATCTTGATATCTTTCAACAAATTAAGAGAGGATTTAATCAGATAAAACAAATATTGTTTGGGACTGTACAAACACAATATGATATGTGATTTTTTCCCTTTGATATTCAAATAGTGCCTTTGGAGGATACTTGAGCCAAAAATATCCACATCAAATATCAGAATAGAGAACCTTTATCGTAAAGGCAGCATTCTTGCCAAGACCTGAGATCATTCATAGATTGCCAATGTGAATGGAATAGGATTAGCAATAAGACTACTTTCACATATCAACATCAGCACTTTTGATGGTAGACGGAAAAAAAACCTCTTGCCTCTTCAAGCTGTGTATTAAGAGACAACTGGGAATTAAATGGAAAGTAACTGAAAAACAAAAAGACTGAAATCATCATCTTGTTGATGATTCAGCATAAACCAAGAAAAAGATCCTGCTCAGCTCCAAAAACCAATTTTTCAAATTAAAAATTAACTTTTTGGAAGTCAGATCAATTTCCAAACAGCTTCTTGATTACTGTAGCTAGGCATATGATCTCAGTTGGCAAAATACCGATTTTCCAGACTGTTATTAATCCTGCCAGACAGTTGAAACTCTCCTATTTCCCTGGAGCTTTCGATATAAAATGCTATTCTTAAATTTATATGAAGCACTTCAGAATTCTCTCATTAATCCTTGAAAAAATCCTATTTTTAGACAATGGAGAAAAGCCAAAATGAGGTAAGCTTTAGTGTTAACTCTTTGGTTTGAGAAATTTGCAAGCATTATTTTGCACAGAAGGGTGACTAATCCAATATAATGGTAAAAAGAAAAACAAATCAAAAGGCACAATATTTGACAGATTTTGCTGACATTGTTGTATTGTATGTGTTTGTTTCTTTCACCAATTCCCCTTGGAACTGTACAAGTTAAATCAACCACAAGATTGGGAAAAGAAAAATGCTGTAATTTCCTAATATCATACAGTCAAGATTTGACTTGAATTTTGACTTTCTGGTCTGAGATTGTTACACTATATAAGAACCCAACATATAATCTTAAATTGGTTGCCAAAAGTATTCTTTTCCAAGGCTTCTCATGAAGGTTGGATTTGCCACAAATCCAATACAGTGATGTTACCAAAATGCAGAGGACTTGGGGCAACAGAATTTAGATCACAGAATATCAGAGTTGAAAGTGACTGTGGAGGTCTTATAGTCCAGTCCCTTGCTAAAGCAGGAGATCCTATACCATTTCAGACAGGTGGCTGTCCAGTGTCTTCTTAAAAGCCTTCAGTGATGAAGCACCCACAACTTCTGAAGGGAAGCTGTTCCACTGGTTGATTGTTCACACTGTCAAGAAATTTCTCCTTAGTTCTAGTTTGGATCACTTTTTGATTAGTTTCCATCTGTTGTTTCTTGCCTGTTTTGGTAAATAGGTTGACCTCCTCTTCTTTATTTTTTATACGGTATATTATTGTTTATGGGAGCCAATGTTTCCTAGTGCTGGTTTAACATTCATTTTGAAATGAGGTGCCTAACTAATATGAGGTGCCTTACTAATATGGACTTAGTAAGCCACTGTGAGATGCTTTGTGATCATAGTGACCATAATTAGCAATCACACTTAGACTTATATACACTTCACAGTGCTTTACAACCTTCTCTAAGTGGCTTACAGAGTCAGCATATTGTCCCCAACAATCTGGGTCCTCATTTTACTGATCTTGGAAGGATGGAAGGCTGAGTCAACCTTGAGACTCGGCGAGACTCGAACTGACAAACTGCTGGCAGTCTGCAGTCAGCAGAATTATCCTGCAATACTGCATTCTAACCAATGGTAATGCATCACTATTACCTTCTTCTGTCAATCACAGGCTTGGCAAAATAAAGCAACATATTGTAAAATTAATGGTTATGTATGATAGATAAATGACTGACTCAAAAATAAGTTTTGTCACTAACATATTTATTGCATATTTATTTATATTTATTAAAATACATATTTGTTGAAATAAAGACTTTGTTTCATTTGATCTGCTAGCTCTGAAAGCTGCCTTTGATGAAAAGAACTTATTCCCCAAAGAAATTCTGGACCGTGAAAAACGGTCAAGACAGTTGCAGGAAGAAATGTGTCCCAAAGATAGGATAACAAGTGAGAGAAAGCAAGGGAAGGTGAAACGAAAATGAATCATTCCTGATTTCAAAAGGAAGGTAAGAATGAAGGCTACGAGCCTTGACAATGTAAGAGCTGCAACTTTTGTTTCCTCCCATTCAGAAACACATAGGATGGAGAAGATGCTAAAATGAGAAAAAGGTACATGGTAAATACTATAATGAAAGCATGAAAACGTAATGGATGATTTAGCTTTTTTTATGTTTAAAATTGACTCTTTCCACTTTGGAACTGCACAAAGAACATGACAATGCACGTTAATCAATCACTCTTAAAATGTATTAAGAAAGAATAACTGTGCCTTTTCCCTTGAGGATGAGCTGAGAATTTTTTTTTAATAATACTAATGGTGTTTATAATATAGCTAGATTAAAGCCTTCAGGACATTTACATAGTTGCTGATGTTGCCATGGAGGAAACTCAATCCAGAGCTGCAAAGGAAGAATAACAGTTGAAATGTGGAACCCAATAAACATGAACACAGGGAAGCTCAACATGGTGAAAGATAAAATGAATCAACTAAAAAATTGACATCTTAGGCATCAGCCAGTTGAAAAAGACTGAAATTGGACACTTTCAGTAAGAAGATCATACTGTGTACTTTGATAAAGTGTCATCAAATCATTGAAACTCTTAGTGACCACATATATAGAGTCTCTCAAAGGGATGTGGTGGCTCAGTGGCTAAGATGCTGAGCTTGTCGATAGAAAGGTCGGCAGTTCAGCGGTTTGAATCCCTAGTGGCGCGTAATGGGGTGAGCTCCCGTTACTTGTCCCAGCTTCTGCCAACCTAGCAGTTCGAAAGCATGTAAAAAATACAAGTAGAAAAATAGGGACCACCTTTCCCTTCCCACCTTTCGTGGGAAGGTAACAGAGTTCCGTGCGCCTTTGGTGTTTAGTCATGCTCGCCACATGACCACAGAGATGTCTTTGGACAGCGCTGGCTCTTCAGCTTTGAAATGGAGATGAGCACCGCTGCCTAGAGTTGGGAATGACTAGCACATATATGCGAAGGGAACCTTTACCTTTACTATAGAGTCTCTCAAGGACAATCTGGCCTTAACCTTGCCTTTCACTCTTCTATTGCTACTGTAACAGAATCTATCCAGTTTCCTGGTGGTCATTCTGTTTTCCATCCTTCCACCTTCCCCAGTATTAGAAGACCCTTCTCCAGGAATCTTGATCTTCACATAAGATATCTAAACATGCTTTAACATAGTAGAGTAATTCAAGTCATTCATTTATCCCTTTACTGAGTTGATTGCTGATGCATTTTTTGTTTTGCTTTCTTTTCTGTTGGCTGTCTATGGCATTCTCAGAAGTCTTCTCCAATACCAACGTTCAAAAGTGTCAATTCTCTGTCAATCCCACCTCTTCAAACTCCATTCTTTGCTTCCGAAGATTGTTGCAATGAATATCATTGCTTGCGTTAAACGCATCATGACATATGAATATCTTTTCCAAGGCCTTCATGGCTGCTCTGCCAAGTTCTAATCTGTGATGGACGGCTTGCTTGTTTGCTTGCTTGCTTGTCCCTTTGTTGTTGATGGTTGAGCCTAAAAGGCAGAAGCCATGTACCTATTTCAATATCTTCATTATCAATTCTAGGGCAGGTTATTGGATCTGTTGTCATTAGGGAATCATCCTTATTGTTGTTGTTGTTAGTTGCGAAGTTGTGTCTGACCCATCGCGACCCCATGGACAATGTTCCTCCAGGCTTTCCTGTCCTGTAACAGCCTCTGGAATCCATTTAAGCTCATGCCTACTGCTTCAGTGACTCCATCCAGCCACCTTATTCTCTGCTATCTTTCCCAGCATTAGGCTCTTCTCCAGTGAGTCCTTCCTTCTTATTAGTTGGCCAACATATTTGAGTTTCATCTTTAGGATCTGGCCTTCTAAACAGCAGTCAGGGTTGATCTCCTCTAGGACTGACCGGTTTGACCACCTTGCAGTCCAAGGGACTCGCAGGAGTCTTCTCCAGCACCATAGTTCAAAGGCCTCAATTCTTTGGCACTCAGCCTTTCTTATAGTCCAACTTTCACAGCAACATCACAAATTATTGCAGTCCCTTCCTCCAGTTTTAAAACTATGCTTATTTTCTTCCAAACCAGCTTTCCTTAATAAATATTCAGCATATAGCTTAATTAAATAAATAAGAAGATAAAATACAGCCTTGTCTCAGTCCTTTGCCAACCTGGAGCCAGTCTGTTTCATTATGTACTTCCAAACCTGTGTGTAGGTTTCTTGTCTTTTTGAGGACAATAAGATGATTTTTTTCATTCTTTTTTTCTAAGCATATTCTAGAGTTTAATATTGTCACAACTGAAGGCCTTTCTATGACCAATGAAGTACATACTGACTTCTTTTTGGTATTTCTTAATTTTCCTAATTATTCAGCATGCATCAGAAATAATGTCTTAAGTTCCTCTGCCTTTTCTAAAGCCATCTTGAACATCTAGCCCCTTTTGTTCCATACGGGGCTCCTATATGCGTAGCAGAGTCCTAAGCATGATTTTCCTAGCTTGTAATATTAAGGACATTGTGAAATACTTTGTATGGCGTCTCTTCCAATCTGTTGGCAAATGCAAGCTTGTAGCACTCCTTGAAGGAAAAAGTCAAAGGATGGATGTTACACATGGTCCCATTTCAACTGATGAGAGAGATATTAAATATTTCAGTTCAAAGGAAGAAGGCAATACAAACAAATCTGACAGTGGAAAAATTCTCCATAAAAAGATAATCAAACATACAAGTAAGTCCAGTGGATGAACTGTTCTGTACTATTAGAACTCTGAAACAGTTTTCAAGCCCTCACAAATAACACAGGTTGATAATTACCTCTACCTACTAATGCATATATGGAGAAGTAGAATTGCACATTACAGGACATATTAACATGGACTTTGACCATTTCAAAGGGGTGATGCTCTCATGGAATTCATGGAAGGGGAAAGAGAAATACCAAAAACCAGTAACTTAAAGTTCAAATTATGTTGATGGACAGATTTGGTTTAGAGCAGGGGTATCAAACTTGATTTCATTGAGGGCTGCATCAGGATTGTGTTTGACGTCTAGGGGTCAGGTGGGCATGGCCAGGGTGGGGGTGGCCAGCTCAACATCACTCAGCTCAACATCACTGGTGTCAGGGGCGCCTTTGGTGGCCCGAGTGCTCTGCCAATGAAAATGGGCTCCCGAGCTGCATTTCCAACTGAGATGGCCTCCTGCAACCCTCTGCCAGGGAAAATGAAGTCCAGGAGGGCCGCATGTGGCCCTCTCCCGAGCTCCATTTTTGCTGGCAGAAGCAATGCAGGCCAATCCTTTGCTATTTCCAGGACAGCCGGTGGGCCAGATCTAAGCACTCCGTGGGCCGGATCCGGGCCCTGGGCCTTGAGTTTGACAACCCTGGTTTAGAGGATCATAATCTGAGTTATCTAGAAGATATTCTCTCGGCATGAGAGGGGTTACAGCATTTTTTTAAAAAAAACTGATAAAGCTGTATGTGATAGAAGCATGGTGGGTTTGAGTCAGGAAACTTTAATTTCTATAATATAGTACCTTTCATTATAGTTTGTTATACTTGAAAACCATGACACAATTGATGTACAGTTCTTCAGTATAGAAAAAAGCAGGAGTATTGCTAAAATGAAATTTATTAAACCACTTGATGAAAATCAGAAAGGAAGTGGCTTAGCATGAATGACCTTAATTCTTTATACATTAATTGTCAGAGCATGAGAAATAAACAAGTCAGTACAGCGAGGCAAATGCAATTTAAGAAGTATGATAGATATTTGGTGAGAGGAGACCCTTGATTGAAATACAATGGTTGACTCATACAATTAGTTCAGAAGGAACAGAAGCAATAGATGGAGGAATAGATTGCACAACATCCATTCCTTCTCAGAAACCCAAATAAAGTAATTGGCAAAACAGTCAGTACCTCTGGATTAAAATAAGCAGACAAACGAATAAAAACAATACACTTGTGGATGTCTATTATTGTCCCCCTACCCAAGGAGAAGACGTGAATGAGGCATCCTGAAAGAAAATTGCAGATCTTTCAAATATGTATGAAGTAGTAGTGCTATAACATTTCCCTCACTTGTAGATATTTTGAGAGATGAACTCTGCCAATTCTTTCTGGAAAATTCCTGACTCGTCTTGCTGACAGATGTCTTATTAAAGGGCAAGGAAGGTATAGAGGACCTTCTACCCTTGAGCATTCCCAATACGGAAATTAAGCTGAGGAACTGGATGTAACAAGTAGATTGGTGGGAAAATGATAGCGCAATGCTGACTTGTTTAATTATAATGGAAACTAAAGCAGCATGCAGTCCAATGCATATCTTGGACTTAAAAAAAGAGAAGGTATTAATGAACTCCAGCATCTGTTCACCATAAGTCAGATAGCACAGGAGGAGAAGCAGGATAGCATAGAGAATTCCAGTGTATTCCTGATAAATAGGATAACATTAAATGAGAAACTAACGAGAACAGGAAGAAATACAGTATATCGATAAGATTTCAGAAAAACTAAAGCTCAGAATGGTTGGTACGATTGGTGAAAGGTGTTGATGAATACGAAAACAGTTTCTCTAGATACAAATTAAAAGGAAAAGAAAAACATCAGAGTGTTTTTTTAGTCAATGAAGATGGAAACAGTACTGTCTGCAAGGGGATAAAAACCTGACTAAACTTGCCATCTATGAGCCCAATGTCTACAGATGTTGATTTTTGTATGGATAATGAAACATGGAATCATTATATAAAATACAGTAGGTTAAAAAGAACTGTAGTTATAAAAATGTACTATAAATTAATATATATGTACTTGAATAATATTTATATAGGCCAGTGATGGCTAACCTTTTTGCCATTGAGTGTCAGGAGAGGCGGGGGAGTGTCACGCATGCACATGCCCACACCGATAATTCTATGTGCCCTGCCCTGCGCATGCATGCGCAACCCCCCTCCCCCCCTGCTCCTGGCACGTGATGGCCTGGTAGGCCTGTTTTTCTTTCTTACCTGGTTCCAGATCCTCTCTATTTATCTGGGAAGGGCGAAAACAACCTTTCCTACTCCCTCGGATGGTCTCCAAAGGCCTGAAATGGCCCATTTCCCAATTCCCAGTGAGACAGGAAGTGACGTTTTTGCTGTCCCCAGCCTCTAGAGCCTTTCTAGGAGTCTCTGGAGGCTGGGGACAGCAAAAACATCACTTCCTGTCCCACCTGGAGGTTGGGAAATGGGCCCTTTCTGGCCTTTGGAGGGCCTCCAAGGGAGTGGGAAAGGCTGTTTTTGCCCTCCGCAGATCAGGGGTGAAATCTAGCAGGTTCTGACAGGTTCTAGAGAACCGGTAGCGGAAATTTTGAGCAGTTCGGAGAACCAGTAGCGGAAATTTTCATTAGTTTGGAGAACTGGCAAATACTACTTCTGGTTGGCCCCAAAGTGGGGTGGGAATGGAGATTTTGCAATATCCTTCCCCTAGGAGTGGGGAAGGAATGGGGATTTTGCAGTATCCTTCCCCTGGAGTGGGGTGGAAATGGAGTTTTTTCAGTATCCTTCCCCTGCCACACCCACAAGCCATGCCCACCAAGCCACACCACACCCACCAAGTCACGCCCACCGAACCGGTAGTAAAAAAAATTGGATTTCACCACTGCTGCAGATGCATAAAGAGGATCTGGAGCCAGGTAAGAAAGAAAAACGGGTCTTCCCCACGTCCACCCCCCCCCAGGCCCTCCGGAGGCAGGAAACAGCCTGTTTCCCTACTTCTGGTGGGCCCAGAAGGCCCGAAAATCAGCTGGTCGGCATGCACATGCATGCCAGAATTGAGCTGGCGTGCCCACTAATATGGCTACGCATGCCACCTGTGGCACGTGTGCCATAGGTTCGCCATCATGGATATAGGCAAATGGCCCTTGACTTACAGTTCATTTAGTGACCATGCAACACTGCAAAAAGTGACTTGTGACCATTTTTCACACTTATGATCATTACCAGAGACCCAAAACTGTGAGCAAAATTTAGGGGCTTGGCAACTGGTTCATATTTATGACAGTTGCAATGTCCTAGAGTCATGTGATCACCTTTTGCAACCTTTTGACAAGCAAAGTCAATGGGAAAGCCTGATTCACTGAACAACCATACTAATTTAACAACTCCAGTGATTCACTGAACAACTGTGTCAAGAAAGGTCATAAAATGGAGCAAAACTCACTTAACTACTATCTCGCTTAGCAATATAAATTTTAGGCTCAATTTTGGTGTTAGGTTTAGGGCCATCTATAGATAAGTATACACAGAATTGTAACTGTTAATTGCTGTAATGATATATTATGCTTTGTTTCTTTTCTTTTTTTTTCTGCTATCTTTTTGCATTTTTGAATACTTTCAATGCATAGTTTTACTATGTACTTGCATTATAATTATCTTTATCTTCATTTTCTGGGTTTTAAATGAAAATGGCAATTAGTATCACAACAAAAGTGCTGCCTCTTTGTAGGTATGTGTAACAGTGACACATGTACAAAAAAGAGACAGGGCTTTGATTGTGGTGCTCTGATTGCCACCTGATCAGTTTCAACCTTTTCCTTCTCTCCTGCCCCCTCTCCCACCCTGCTACAGATGCCGTTGGATAGACGATGATGCCTTCTTCAACAAAAAAGGATATGCTCCACCAAGAAATGTTAAAGAATGGGATTGAAGATGCTTAAATTAGAATGATCAGAGAATAATTCTTCTTTGAATGCATTTAACTTTCCAAGATCAGATGAACTGCACTGCTGAACTTATATCCAACAGAACTCCTGACAAACTGGATGACCGAATAACTAAAAGAAAACAAATGTCTTGTCATCATAAAGATGATCCATGGAACTGTAGACCCGTAAGGAACAGAATAACAAGAGTTTGAAGAGACCTGGAGGTCTAGTCCAACCCCCTGCTCAAGCAGGAGACCCTATACCATTTCAGATGAATGGCTGTCCAGTCTCTTTTTAAAAGCATCCAGTGATAGAGCACCCACAACTTCTGAAGGCAACCCTTCCACTGGTTGCCTTCTCATTATCAAAACATTTCTCTTTATTTCTAGGTTGCTTCTCTCCTTGATTAGTTTTCATCCATTGCTTCTTATCCTGCTTTCTGGTTCCCTCAGGAAGTGAGGGGAGCCGAATGTCAACTTGCAAAGCTTTCAAGTTGCCATGAGCAGGAGGGAGGGAGAACTGAAGTGAATTCCAAACATTCTTTCTGACCGCAATCAGAAGGAGGGCGTTAGGGTTCACAGCCAGCCAAAGTCGTTAATTGGAGAATGTGATTTATGACATGGCCAGAGAGGAGGGGAGAGACAGGGTCATAGGAGAACGTAAATCTACGCAGGGTCAGTCATAGCTGCATCCCAGTATTGCCGGAATGGTGCTCCTAATAAATGACTATATTTCCTTTGAAGTTTGGATCGTGGCTCATGAATTAATTAGGGCATCTTTCGGAAACTTGACACTGGTGCTTTGAAAAATAAATTGACCCCTTCTTTGTGACAACCCCTCAAATATTGGAACACTGCTATCATGTCACAGCTAGTCCTTCTTTTCACTAGACTAGACCTACCCAATTCCTGCAACTGTTCTTCATATATTTTAGCCTCCAGTCCCTAAACATCTTTGTTGCTGTTTTCTGCACTCTTTCCAGAGTCTCAACATCTTTTTGATATTGTGGGGACCAAAACTGGTTCAGGATTTCAAGTGTGGGCTTACCTAGGCCTTATAAAGTGGTACTAACACCTTCAAATCAGTCTGGTTGTGATTGCAGTACCTGTGATTACTGTGATTATTTGGCATGACTTCCTAATGGTTTCAATAAATCTCCCTTATCTGTAGTGCTGAGGTTGGTGAACTTGTCTAAGTGGTTCATTCCTGCCTGTTGGGTGAAACCTGATATCCACTTAATCTTATCTCAATTTTTTGATAAGGTAGCTTCATTGACTGATAAATAATGTTGCATCTAGGTTTTAACAAAAATAGACTGTGTGACGTTTTGATTAGCAAGATAATTAAATGTGTGCTGGTAGCCTGACAAGTGGATATATACTTGGCCTGAAATACCACACTCAAAAGAATGTCATCAATAATTTTTCATCAAAACGGAACTAGGTATTAAATTGGATGCCTCCAGCTTCTGTCTTGGGTTTTCTACTCTTCAATATTTTTATTAATGACTTGATTGAAATGGTGAAGTGACTGCTTAGTCAATAGAATAGCTATTTCAGAAGATAGCTGATATCCTATAAAACACAACTAAAAATTAGAAGTGAAAACTTACAGAAAAGGGTGGAAAGGAAAGAGTTTCTAAATTATAGGAAGGGACACCTCTCCTGCGCGAGCTGCATTGGCTTCCAGTGGTCTTCCGGGTGTGCTTCAAGGTATTGGTTCTCATCTTCAAAGTGCTCCATGGCTTAGGGCCCATTATTTACGAGACCACCTTCTGCCACCGATAACCTCCCACCAGCCAATACGCTCCCACAGAGAGGGCCTCCTCAGGGTGCCGTCGGTCAGGCAATGTCGGCTGGCGACCCCCTGGGGAAGAGCCTTCTTTGTGGGGGCACCTGCCCTCTGGAATTAGCTACCCCCAGGGATACGACTGATCCCGGACCTCCGTACTTTCTGTCGGGCTCTGAAGACTTTTTTATTTCAGCAAGCCGGGCTGGGTTAAAAATCTTTTAATTGTTGAAATTTATGGGTAAGGGATTTTAAATTGGGGGAATTTAATTTTGTTTTTATAGTATTTTAATGTTTATATTGTATGTTTTTTAATTTTGGCTGTTCACCGCCCCGAGTCCTTCGGGAGAGGGGGCGGTATAAAAATTTAATAAATAAATAAATAAACTATTCCACTCCATTCTGCTTTTTTGTCTTTTCCTCACTGGGTATGTTCAAACAGAAGTCAGACAGACATCTATCAAGGGATCCCTTAATTTGGCATCCTGCGCCAGGCGAGAGTTGAACAAAACATCGCTTTCCAACTTTAGGGTTTTAAAACTGGCAGAAAAGTGGGCTACATTCAATCCACAAAACACAGATTTCTCATAATAGTACAGAGAACAGTAACATGGGCCAGAAGTTTGACCTGATGTAAAATAGTTTCCTATGTTACTGATCTATAGTAGTACTAATAATTCCATCATTAACATAGTTATATGCAAACTAGGACTCTTTTGTTCCTTTGTTCATCAATATTAATATTTATGTGTAGAAACACTAATAAGCTTCAAAGGAACCTTCTTTTTCCTGGAACTGAGTTTGAAAGAAGTTCAAGTAAATACTAAGAATTATTTACTGTACCTTTGTGTACTCATATAATTTTAGGGTTTGTGGATGCTCAGATGAGGTTCTAGCGTTGCTAATGTTATTACTGCATTGTAGATTATTGGAAATCCAAAGAGATCCTCATGTCTTTAGAAGTATTCAAGAATAAAAATAAGAATGTTTATTTTTTAAATGTTACTTATGACATTTTTTTAAAAAAATATAGGAATATTCAGAGCTGTGAACAATACGATATGCATTAAATCAGTGAATAAATCTTAGAAAGTCCAAAGTAAACAATGTATTTAAAAAAATCTAAGAAAATTACAAATATTTGCCAGAACATTTATGTTTATTATTAACATTGGAACTACTTTGTCTGGTTTTTAAAGTTTAATGGTGTAAGGTTTTCTGTATTTTTTTTTACTGCTATTTAGTGATCAACCATTAAGTCTTTGCACCTCATATATGTTAACTTTTATTAAATATAACTGTGAAGAAATGAAATTGCAAACTAATTTGAAATATCTGTTACATTTAAACACTAAAAATAATTGTTGCTTGAAATACATCTAGAGGGAAATTGAATATTAAGCAGTGGTGGGATTCAGCCAGTTCTTTCCGGTTCTGATGAACCGGTAGTGGCAACTGCGGGAGGCTCCGCCCACCCACCCGGACATAATGTGTGAGCAAAGAGCATTTGTGGAAGGCCGTGCACATGCACAGAAGAGGCACGTGCTAGCGCGTGCGCTCTCACATTTGCGAACCGGTAGGGAAGGTAAGTGAATCCCACTTACTATCCATAAAACAAAGTAAATCAAGAGTTTAAAAAGTCAGAATAACTTTAAATGATGATCAGAGTACATTTCAGAGGCATTGTAATTCACTGTAAGCCTTACAGAGTGACTTTGTAAAGAATAGAATAGAATAGAATAGAATTTTTTATTGGCCAAGTGTGATTGGACACACAAGGAATTTGTCTTGGTGCATATGCTCACAGTGTACATAAAAGAAAAGATATGTTCATCAAGAATCATAAGGTACAACACTTAATGATAGTCATAGGGTACAAATAAGCAATCAGGAAACAATATCAATATAAATCTTAAGGATACCAGCAACAAATTACAGTCATACAGTCATAAGTGGGAGGAGATGGGTGATGGGAACGATGAGAAGATTAATAGTAGTGCAGACTTAGTAAATAGTTTGACAGTGTTGAGGGAATTATTTGTTTAGCAGAGTGATGGCGTTGGGGAAAAAGCTGTTCTTGTGTCTAGTTGTTCTGCTGTGCATTGCTCTATAGCATCATTTTGAGGGTAGGAGTTGAAACAGTTTATGTCCAGGATGCGAGGGGTCTGTAAATATTTTCACAGCCCTCTTTTTGACTCATGCAGTATACAGGTCCTCAATGGAAGGCAGGTTGGTAGTAATTGTTTTTTTCTGCAGTTCTAATTATCCTCTGAAGTCTGTGTCTGTCTTGTTGGGTTGCAGAACCAAACCAGACACTTATAGAGGTGCAGATGACAGACTCAATAATTCCTCTGTAGAACTGGATCAGCAGCTACTTGGGCAGTTTGAGCTTTCTGAGTTGACTTTGTAAAGTGAGATGACCAGTGTATAAATTTAATAAATGAATACATAAAGACATCTTAGAAAAGAGGATTGTAAAATATACTTCTTGAATTTTGTCTGAGGGCATTGTGTAGGCTAGCAGATTTATGTTTGGAGACATGGTGATGAGTGCAGTTTTAAAATTGAAAGAAGAAAGATAAATAACTGTGCTACATTGATAACACTTTTCTGAGAGCTGAAAATGCAGAGGATTTGCAAGTTCTAGTAATAAAAATCAGACAGCACAATGAAAAAAAAAGGGACTAAGATTAAATATAAAGAAGATCAAACTAATGGCAACAGATACAAGAGCCAGCCTTGGAACTGACAATGAAGATACTGAAGTGTAGGTAGCTTCTGCAATTTAGGATCAACTAACCAGAATAAAGAAACAAGCAGTTAAGAAACACACAACAAAATAGCACTTGATAGAGTAGTTATGAAGGCCTTGGAAAAGATACTTACATGATGTGTTGTATTTATGCATACAAAGATCAGTATTGTATAGGCAATGGTAGTTCCTATGAGATTCTATGCAAATAAAAGTTGGACTTTGAAGAAGCAAGATGGAACAGAATTGACACTTTTGAATTTTGGCTTTGGGGAATACTACTAGGAATTAAAATGGATCCAGAAAACAAAATGGATTATTGAATAACTTGAGCTAAAATCTTACTCAAGGCACAAATAACCAAGATCACATTATTCTAGTTTGGACATGTTATGAAAAGTCTCTGGAGAAAGCTCTAATTTTGGGGAAAATGGAAGGAAAGGGAAGAAGTGGCAACTAGCAGTGAAGTGGATGCATTTACAGTGATAATGAATGCATTGTTGGAATACCTGAAGGACCAAGCTAGGAGACAATCTACCTATGTGATTACTAATCAAAGCTTGATGGCACATAATCAATACATAAACAAGTTGGTAATTCATATGTCATTACCAGAGGGAATGTACATCACAAAGAAGGAGATAAGTGAGCATTTGTGCATAATTTGTGCTTCTGGATGCCCACCAAATGGTTAACATAAATATAAAACCTATTTTGAGTCTATTCTTTTCCAAGTAAACTTATTTTGTGATGAGTGTATGCGAGTTGACATAAGAAAGGAGAAGCCTTACCAAGCTTATTTGCCCTGCATCCAAGGTTCAATGGACTTGGAATTTGGATCCTTCCTTGGCCAGTTCATTGGTTCAGAGGGTAGGGTAGTCTCTCAGTATGCTTTTTTCATGAATATTTTTTTTTTTAAAAAGGAGTCTTAGAAACACAACTTTGTTTTTCCTCTAGAGAATTCTCCCAGGAAACCAAGTACAGTGTAAATCAATTTAGAGAAAATAAAACATCAGACAGCTTTAGATGCTTAGCTGGACTATTGATCTCCATAAGATGGAGAAGTAGGCACAGCTTTCTGCTAAAATAACCTGAGAGCTGATATGTGAGATTCTGCTAATTAGAAAAGAAATAGTAAAGTTTTGGTGATAAATTCACATTGCTTTTATAGAAGTGAATGATCATTACCCAAACTACATAACATCATCAGTGTTTATGACCTCATCATTAGTCTACAAGAAAACAACCAACCTCAAAGACCACCAAGGACCCCTCATTTCAACCCTGAGCTACAAATATTCTCCTTTGTTGTTATAGAAGTACTCATATAAGGATTTTTGGAATCTACATGGTGAAATTTTGGGATTAGGGCAATATCCTTATGTTCAACTAAGAAAGTTCCCAAACTTGGACAAAGCCTATCTCAGTTTACTTTTTCCTCTCTGGTTCTATTTCATTCCCTTTGACATTTACAATTACTATAGTGAGGAAATTCTGTTGGGATTTAGAATAGTGTTAATTGTTCTCAGTCAGTGGTGGAATTCAAATTTTTTTTACTAACAATTCTGTGGGCATGGCTTGGTGAGCGTGGTATGGCTTGGTGGGTATGGCAGTGGAAGGATACTGC